TAACTGAGCCTTCCTCACTAAAAAAGATAATATTGTTCATTAAAGGAAATATTAATGTATAACATTAAAGAGCGCTTACAATTACACTTTTAAAACGTGAGATCTTCAAATCAAAACTAACTGTATACCCTATCTTTTTAGTAAGGGACAAAAAATGGACATTCTCAAAATAAATAATTCTTATGTATGTATAAAAAAAAAAATTGTGAAATGGTGCCAAAATTTTATACTAAACAGGAAACTCCTGCAGTGCACCCATTTCTTTTGAAAAGAGATTAACATTTTTTTTGTAAAACTGCTTTTAATAATAACTTATTAAGTACTATAGTTCTAATATTTATTACCTAAGATTATGTATAGTGGTAGATATTCATAATTACAACGATCATTTTCTTTGTTTTTAGAGTCATATAAAAATCCTAAAAATATTGTCTCACGTCTAGATAATTCTATGGTCAAATGTGAAAGAAGAGTTGATTCATCCTAATTTATAAACATAATTCATTCATATATAATAGCAAATGAAATTTTCTACAATTTTCTACATCCTATTGCGCAATGAGATGGTATCCATTTAATGTTTGTAAAGATCTACTTTCAATTATTAGTTGATTCATACAACAAATAGAATCTGTCATACATTTTATTACTACTAGAACAAATAATATAATTTGGTAATATATTTCATATCATAAAATTACTATATCAGTTTCTTTATAGCTACTGTCTACTTTATATTTTGAAACTATTATAATATAAAACTACTCCAGATCATGTATACCATTACGGAATTATTAATATTTAAATAAAATATCTAATTTAATACAGAATAACTTATATAAATGTATATATGCACTTATATGTATAACATTATTGTTATTAGTACAAAATCATAACATTTAAATTTCGTTTTTAAGAATATATTCTACAGCTTGAACAAAAGAGCTGCATACTTTTGTAGGCTGTGGTGTAATTATATTTTCATCCCCATTTCGATACTTTCCGGTTTGTACTAGAAGTCCTCTCATACCAATAGCTTGGGCACCAGCCACATCATCTTTAACATCCTAGAAATTATTATAAAATAAAGAACTAAAAATTAAAATAGAAAACACTGTTTAAAATATTTTTTACATCGCCTATCATAATTGCTTCTTCTGGAGATATATTTCCTAGAGCAGCTTTAAAGAATTCTGCAGTTGGTTTTCCAACGACTTCTGCTTTAATATTTGCTGAATATTCTAAACCAGCGATAAATGCACCTGGTCCTAAAGCTAACCCATCTGATCTTTTATAATATCGTCCTTTATGAATTGCTATGAGTGATGCGCCATCTAATAACAATCTGAAATTAAAAATAATTTGTTTCTCATAATAAGTGTACTGTTATAGATTTTTTATGATTTATTATATCAAATAATCAAGATACACCTGAATGCTTTGGTTAGTTCTTCATAATGAAATTTATCTGGTGCTAATCCGATTACAACAGCATTTGCCTTCTCGTTATTTTTTATTAAATCTTCAAAATCTTCATTAGCAGCAGGATCAATTAGTAACATTGGATTTAATTTCCGTAGAATAATTAAATTTCTCGCTGCAGCTAAAGAACTGAAAATTTCTTCTTTTTTAATATTAAAACCGAGTCTTATTAATCGGTTATGTAGGAAGTTACCGGATTCTTTTGTTGTATTTGTGACAAATTTGATCGGTATATTAGCGCTTCGAAGCCTATATTACAAACAATAAAATTATTTATACAATATATAATTTTTGTCAAATTATTCTTTGTTTATTTAAACATTATTAATAGTAATAATGTTAAGACATAAAATTAATATTTCAATTTAAAAAACTTCAATCGAAGAAATCGGCGCAATGCACGCTGCGCCATGACATTTGCTAACGACCTAAATAATTCTTACAAATTAAATGAAAAGACCACCTGTTTAAAGCTTCTACTGCACCTTGAATCGCTATATTATCAATATGCAGTGTTCCACTAAGATCTATTAATATCATCTTTATTTGTTTCGCCATATTTTTATAAAATTTCGAGAACTTATTCAGCAGTAACTGTCCGGTTCCATATATTACACAGAGTGTGTGTGTACGTAAAGTATACTCACTTCATGACACATACAAATCAGTTAATAATAGAAGCGTAAGATTCATATTGCACATGGCAAGTATGGCGCTCTCCATGGGACAGGAAGGCGTAAAACAAGTACCTTGGTTTTCTCTGTAAATATTAGAATACTTAATAATTATTATGACTTAAAGTATTTTATAAGAAATTATATTTACATTCCATAGCGCAGAGTGGTTCCAAGTGTACAAACAGATTTATTCCAATGATATAGATGAACAGATGAAAGGATATGAGACGCTGCTTGTTTGGAAAGCAAGGTAATCAAGTAATAAACGTTTAACCGAATATTTTGAAATAAGTTGTATTAATTGGCAATATTTTAGGATACCAAAATTACCAATAGGGATTGATTGTACTCTTTCAATTATGCAAGTGTGTATTAGAGATCGTGAATGGACTCCTAAGATTAATAGTGGCGAGTTGCCACTTAGCTATGAAAATGATTTATGTTTGATGTACTCAACTACAATAATGAGACTTTTAAATTATATATCTAATGTAGGACATACGAAGCAAACATCTTTATTTCAGATTGCACAACAGTTAAATATCCCAAAGTGGATAGTGAACTTAAGGCATGATACTGCTCATAGTCATGAATTACCATCTATTGGAGTATTGAAAATAGCTGTAAACATATTACTAACTTGGTTACATGTAAGTTTATTTTAATATTAATTGTAATTTGAAAAGAAAAAAATTACTTTTATGTAATATATTTAAAGGAAGAATATTGGGTAGCAGAAGCTAAAAAAATTGAAGAATGTTTGATTACTGAGGAATCTATGAAGGAAGTTCAAGAAACTGAAGAAGTACAGGATTTCAGTGATTTAATAGAACTTTGGACTTCTGTTAGTTTGTATATTCATGCCGGTTACCATCTAGTATCTGGTGTTCCAGATTCTCAGTTGAAGTATGTATAAATATATTCAACTATTTCAACTATAATAAATTTATATCAATAAATTGATATTCTTCATAGGGAAACATTACAAGATCTGCGTTCATATGCTATTTCTTTATTAGAAAAAAATAGCGAAGATGTGGAAAGTGATAAAGATAACTATGTGGAAGCTGTCAGTGATGATATAAAAAAAGATAAAAAGTATACATTAGAGACTGCAAGGATAGTTCTTTTATCTGAAATATCTAGATATCTTAACAAAAAAATTATACCTAATAAAAAAGATATAGTTTGCAATACACTGTTTAATTCAGAAGCTTTTTTACCAAACAAAGATGTTTTATCAATTTTTACCCAAAATGAAAGCAGTGAAAGTAAATTAGAAAAAGATGTTTTGCCATTAGATATGGTCAATTTTTGGAAAGATATAATATTTTTATTATATGAAAAAGACCTAATGGAAACATTAATTGTAAAATTATTAGAATTAATAGACAATGAAGAAGTAAAGAAAGAAAAAAGATTATTAGCTTCTTTATGGTTAAGTTCTATATCATATAGTTTTCTGAAACTGGATAATGCACATATCATATCTCGACTTTTAGAATATCAATTAGAAAGAACAAGAAAAAATTTATCACCAAAAGTTTTTGAACTTAAGGTCAAAGAGGAAACAGATCGTATTTATCCACATTTAAAATGTGTTTTATGGTTTAATATATCAGATACCGTGCTACCATGCTTAACTGATATAAAATTTATTTCAAAACTTATATCGAATGTAAATGAATTCTCAGTCAAATTCATTGTGCCTATGTTAGAATTAATAAGTCCAAAAATAGATAAAGAAAGCAAACAATTGCTATTGAATTTAATGAATGTTTATGTAATAGCGATAGTTGATAAAAATGATAAAAATTCTTATGAATATGAAAAGACTTTTACACTCAAAGACCTTCAACCTGATGAATATCCATTAGGCACAGAAAATAATCAAAATGAACTGGAAAATAAAACATCTTTTTTAGTTGATCAAAAAATTCGAAATAATTATTGGAACTTTGCAGTTAGTAAGTATTAAATTGTTTATTCTTGTTTTCTAAAATATTAGCAAGCAAAAATAATTTCAAAATTTTTTCAGCAACTTGTAATTGGAGAGAATGTCCAATAGGTTTGCTTCCTTGGCAGAATGATACATTGGAATTTATAAAACCATTCAATATGGTAGTACAAAAATATGATATTTCAGTATTAGAATCTGAAATTGTTCCTGGAATTATAGATAAGAAAGACTTAAAAATGCAAAGTCAAATTAATTGGGACAATGTTTTAAGAAAAAAGAAACGTTTGAAAAGGAAACGAGAACGAAGAAGCACAGATGTAATAATGAATAAGGCATTAGAAGCTGTTAAAAAATGAAAATAGTACATTTTTATATGTTCCAAAAATTTTATTCATTATTGGCATGTTTACAGGGAATATAAAAACAAATAGAAGTTCAACAATGTATTTTTGTAACGTAATAAATAAATTATATAATTCTATCAAAATGATTGATATAAAAGCTTTTTTAATTATAAAATTTCAACTAATATATATAAAATTTTTAATATCACAAATATTGAATGTTATATTAAATATCCAAGAAAGGGCTTTGTACACGCTTGTAAGAATACATTATTTTGTAACAGCATTTTTAGAATAATAGTTTCGCATTTTTTATATATGAGCATATTTATTCTATAAATGTATAAAATTTATAAACTAGACAGTTAAATATATTAACATCACAGATGTATTGTATAAGAATACAGGAATATTGTATAACAAATTTTTGTAATATTAACGAGTAATCCTTTCAAACATTGTTTAATGAATCTAATTCTTAAAGTGATACATAGCTGTTATCAAAATTTAACAATATAAAAGTTTATGATATCCGTTTCTTTGGTAGTTATTTTATTAATAGACGCTTCTTATTAATACATACTTCAAATGTATACATGATATTCTGAAATTAGTGGTACATCTCAAAAGAGCATATTTTTGCATAAAAATATAGATCGACAATGTACTTGTTCGGTACGCGTGCACTCGAGCTGAGTGATAGATATTCCCGGAGTATTATGGGGTCAGGGGAAGGTTTCTCATTCCGTACCGATGAGTGCATACGAGTACAATAGGCGGAGTCAAAGTATTCCCCTTGCGTCACAATACCCCTGCAACATCGAGATCGCATAAGTGCATGTGTACTCAGTAAATATTCGAACTCACTCTTTTCAAGACATTTCTTATGACATTATTTCTTATCATTTATACTTTTTCGTGTTAAGAAAGTTCAATATAAATATTCGTTATGTACACATATATTAAAATATAGTTTCAAGCATCCGAGGAGTATCACAAAGTAAGGGAAGTACAATTGACTCCGCCTACAGCAATACTGTTCATCGATGAAGACTCTTAAATACAATTTTGTTTCTTTCTACGTGGAAATGGTAAAGAAATCGTGTTTAATACTATATATTTTTCATGTGTAATGTGATATCAGCCAGCATTTTATACTATAATATAAAGATATATACAGTGCGAAAAGGTCCCTAAACTCCGGAAGAATACAAACAGCACTGGTGTACGATACGCGTTATTTCCCCTCCTCCCTTTTTCTTTTCTTTAGGTAAGAAGCATTCCCCTTACCTCATGGTGCCGTTCGTGAATCCGCGACCTTACATGAGTGCACGCGTACTCAACGAACATTCAAACCCAGTTTCCTTGAGGAGGAAGTCTCTTTTATGTAGCTCCTTTTATTTTTTTTTAAACAGAAACAAACTTTCCGAATCGTACCATCAGTTCTTCGATACTTCGTGTAAATAACAAATACGTTCAAAAGAACAAAGTTCAATAAATTCTACTTCATTCTTGTGTTATTAAATTAAAATGAAAAAGTTTTCTTAGTGGAAGTATTAGTTTTTCTACATACATCTGCAAGATGCTTAGATGTTTCTAAACCATATATGTCTAATGGTACTCGAGACATTATTGCTACCCTGAAATTATACAGAAGAAAAAAAGTGTAATATGTGTTAAAAATTTAAATGTATAGTAGTTTAACAAGTTTATGATGTTCTTACCTTCCTCCAGAGATAGTATACAAAAATTTCCAATAGGAAGACCTTAAGAGATGTGGTTCAAAGATTGATACATGGAAGAGTACTGCTGTACTAAAGCAATATAAGAAGATTTGAAACCATTTTACTTCAGGTACTATCTTTTTTTCCACAAGATCATTCCATAACAACTAAATAAAACAGAGCATGGTATAAAGTATGAAGTTTTATGCGTAATAAAAGTACTAAATTACAAAATCAAAAAATTATTTGCAAAATTACCTGCAATGCTTTCCACATAAAATATAAAGTTATTGTATTAATATTATAAAACATAAATGTTAAACCACTTATAAGTAATCTTTTTGTAAGAATCTTCTTAGTAAACAAGATATTAGCTACAATAAATTTAAAAATTATTACAGTAATATATATAAAATTTAAATAACTTCTAGTGATAAAAATAAAATAATACCCTATAAAGTCCTGCAAAACCACCTAAAAATAGAGGTAAATTTAAATTGCTTTTTTTGAAAATTACTGATTTTATTACCAGTGGTTTTGTAATTAATTTTTTAATATTAAAGAACAAATTAATCATTAGTTGGGCACCTAAAGCATAACTAAATACTTCTGTGCCACTCTGTAAAATGAAATGAGCATTAGTAATATATATATATATATATATCTCATATTAACTACATAATCTTTAACATTTATTCACTTTTGAACATACCTTTAATATGTAATGAGCACAACTAAATGGATGTGGGCAGGAAATATGTTTATCTTTATGCTTTAATGTTTCTGTAAGTTTTTTGTATGTCTCAAGGGATTTCATAAATATATTAACATTTTTTTTATGAGATTTATTTACATCATGCTTGTCTACGGAATTACCACTATTATCTTCATTAGAACAGCATAATTGCATTTCATAGTGTAATTCGTTTTTCTCTTTAGGATAATCAGTCCCTTCATATTTTCCAACAATGATTCTAGTAAAAATTGTCTAATTACTTGAAAATTGTTTATGAACGCTATAAATAAAAAAGTTGAATAAATAAATACCTAAGTATTTTATATATAGAATCTTGGTTATTTGGTTTAGTACGATAAAAATAAAGCAATAATGCTAAACTTGTAGCAAAAATATATGTTCCACCTTGTGAAATGGGAGAATAATATCCCCTTGCTACCCCCATTCTAAATAATGTTTCTGTCGCCTGATGAAGGATATCATTAATTTATAAAAATATTAAAATTATAGTTTCTATAGTCTTATATGTATTTTTATAAAGAAATTTTATTTTATCTCATCCTAACAAGGAATTATAAGATAAATCTACTCACAATATTAGATACATATAAACTCAATAAAGTACGCCTTGATGGCCTCTCAATAATAATAGCAGACAAACTAGATAGAAATGATGGAAAAAATGATATAGTCAGGAAGTTGAAGTTTCCAAGTATTCGTCTGAAATATACATTGTTTTACATAAATATAATAATGCTACACAATCAAAAGTTTCGTTAAATCAAATAAACATTATACAATAATTATAATGTTAATTTAACAAATAATAATAAACAATGGAATAAAACACAAAAAGCCTGTTTATAATTTTTTCATTTCTAAAATTTAATTAATTCCCTCATATAATAATATAATATAGTAAACAAATATTTCTATTTATATATGATATGAGCAAAATCATATATTTATTTATGCAAACCTTAAAAGGCAAATGAACATAGAATAGGAAAAAGCACTCCATGAGAGGAAAGCTGTTGACTGTAAAAAACCCAATATCGTTTTTTTAATATCTCCTTTAGATGGTTTCTTTCCTTTTAATAAAAGTGCAACCTAAAAAAGACCGATAAGGACAGAAATTATACATATTTGATAATGAATGAGTTTTTCATAATTTTTTCGAACAAAAGAAAAAATATTACGCAATAAAGTAATTTAAAAGTTATCAATTTATCAGCTGACGAAATAAATCTAACAATAAACATCTGTTAAGAGGCAACATAAAATTCTATTCGTTATTATTTATCGTGTATCGTGATTCAACCAAGTGTAATTTACATAGCTCAGAATTGCAACAAAAAAGTGTTACGCATAATGTATATACGCCAGTTGTTAATAATTACGATACGATCGTTACATCGGCAAAATGATATAATAAACTGAAATAAAAACTAAGAGAAAGAATTGATAAACATACTATATAAACTGTGGAATATATCCTTAGGCATTCTTGAAGAGCATCTAAGCCAAGACCGGCGGCTGTATTCACACAGGAATCTCCCCAAGGATGTGCATATTCCTTACAGGATATATCGATGAATTTGCTTAGTTGTGAAGGCATTCTCTGATGACTAACAATTTTACAATAAATTTAGTTACTGACTACGCAGTGTCAATTTTCAGCAAAGAACGTTGCATAAAGAAAAAATAAAACTGTTGCTCCTTCTGTCACGCAGTGTTACTATAGCTATTTTGATATTGTCAAACACTTTGTTAAATTCATTCTTCTTGCTTGTTACACGTTAATTTAGAATTACGCAACGTAAATCAAAGAAAATTTGATTCGATTACGATTGATTAAGAAAGTCTATATATTGATCGATGTTCAACAAGGATTAGATAACGACGTGTTTTCGATTCTGGACTTCGATTCCTCAAAATGGGATATTAGAAATGTTCGTGTCTTTCGTAGATCAAAGAAAAAATGATCACGATAACAAACAGACAAACGCGTGCGAACTCGTCGACCGCTCGTCACCGACTGAATCCGGACAACTGTGTAAAATCAAAACTCGCTTTCGTCGACCTTAACTCTTCTTACGTAGAACCCTAATTTAAATATTTGTTGAATAATAATTCAATTAACGTATCAATAAAAGAAACTATTTATCATTACTATCTTAATCATTTTATAATCGCTAACGAAAAAAGCTTTATTCATATATTATTACTACTATGAAAGATAATTTTTTCCAAAACATAATTACAATTGTAAGGAATTTATGTATTAATATTTTATTTAACGGATTTAATAATTTCTAATTGGTAATTATTACAGGTTTGTTTTCTCAAAATATACTATGCAACAGCAAAAGTATTTTATAACTTTCTAATTGCATTTCCAGTTCACTGTTTCCATAAACCTACTTGATGTGAAAGTATACGAGACTGAAATTAATAATATACATTAAAAATGGTGATTAATGCATATTATGGAATATTTTCTTGAAAATTGGTAGACGCAAATTTAATTTGCGAATTAAAACTTGCATTTATATGATATATTTATAATATAACGATTATACTTTTTTACTGAAATGTGTGATATATTCAATACAATATATCTATTGATACACATATGTATATGGCTTTTATTACCTTAGTTGAAATTATATATACCAGCATCTATAGTGCGGTAACATTTTGTGTTATCATAGTATTTAATGCATCACAGTTTACTTTAGTATGACATTTCTAGAGAAACAGATAATGAAAACTGAAAGAAAGAGTGACGAAGTACAAATTTAGTCAACGAATACATATGCAAATACAGGAAACAGACTAAAGAAAGCTTCTCTTTCAGGAGTCGAGTAATTCTCACCCATTTACATGTTTGTTGCTCCGTCGGTCACTCACGATGATTAGTGTCAGATTTCGGTAAGTACTGAATTTTAAGCAATTTCGTACTATAATATAAAAATAACAACAGAAATAATACACAAAATATTATAATGCACAATAAACGTATTAAATCCTTCACCATTAAATAATAAATTTTAAATAAGTTCGTTGGTACAGTTCCGTATAAATACAAGTAACCAATAGAGTAATACATATTAAATTATATTATCTGCACAATAATATTTAGTTCCGAAAAACTATTTTATTTGTTTATTTGTGTTTTACACGAGTAAATCGATTTCATTGCATGACATATGCATTACAATCGCGCATGATCGCGTAACACATTGCTACTGACATCTATGTATCATCACTGGAACGTTTTTTTAGAAAATTTTGTAGCTTATAAATCACGCGTTATATTTGTTTCGTCAATATTTATAACTCTTAAGAATAGTTCCACATTTATTATATTTGATTATTTGTCAGGGAAAGGTGATAATTTTCGATAGCGTAACTGATAAATCAAATTTAATTATTACATTTTAATTTTGTTATTGCGTCACATTTACATTCCTTTAAATTCCACGTTAAAACTAGTATTTTTAATATTTATCGAAAAACAAGTTTCGGTGGTATAGAGATTTTTTAGTAAATTTTGACACGAGGATGGTGCTATACCTGGTTGTAGATAATTCCAGGTCCTATCCGCTAGACTTGGAAAGGTACTGTATCAGATAAGGGGGTGACACAATTATGTTTAGATTGTGATTGGCTACGACCGAATAGGTAGTTTTCCGTGTCTGATGAACAATAATCGTTAGTCGTATTTCAGCTACATACGGTGATCCACGTTGGTATATAAGAGCAGGGAAGAGACAGTGTGTATATTAAATATTGTACACAATTGCGAACGGAACAATCGTTTTATCGATTGCAGAGTGATATCATTATATGAGAAGATTGTCAAGAAGTATTTCCTACAGAATGTAAATTGTGTAAGTATGATAATTTAAGCAATTTAATTAAAAACAAACTAATAATTACTTTTTATTAAAATTATAAAAATAAATTCAGGATCACTAATTACGTATTATGAATTACGCGTGATACCAAATCAACATAGGCGCAATTTTGCACGTGTACACGCAACGTGCCTTTCATCACGAATGCAATTATTAGTTTTTTATTTACTATACGTATTTTTTGGAATATCATACTTATATATTTTGCACATATTTAATGTGATAAATGTCTGTTTCATAGTTATATCTGTTTAGATGTTTTTCCTATCATAAAAAGGCATAATTCAAAATTAATGCTATAATTACAAAAAAATATTTATGAAATAAATACAGCGATCCACAATAATTGACAATTATATATGGAATCGATATAAAATATGCCTCGGAGCAAACACTGGTACAAGATTTAAAAGGATTAAATACAAGAAATATTATCGACTAGTATTTTATATTTATATTTTATTTATTACCAACTCCAAGATCTACGTCGTTTACCTATAATTCAGTTTAATATCACCGATTACCTATCTTTGATGAACAATATGTACATTTATGTATTTGAAGAGTCTCTAGTATAAAATTAGCAGATCTCTCAGCAAATTCTATTTGCTTGCAGTTTATCGTGGCGCCATACATTTAATCACAACACGTCGCATCTATTAATTACTTTCTAGTCTTTGCGAAGGAAGGAGAAGAAGAAAGAAAGGAAGATGACTACAGGATTGAAGACAATGGAATTTCTACGGTTAGGCCGACGACTTCGTCGACGCCTAAATGCCCGAAATGGTGAGTAAGAGAAACATTAATATCGTTTCCATTCAATCTGAATCGCGATATTATCAAATGATCCGCGATAACAGGTCGAAACGTGAGCTCTCTTAATCAATCGCTAAGTCTTCTCGCACGTGATACTGTTTATGTCGTACAATCATCACGTTCATATGCATTAACTGAACGCGATGTAGTTAAACTTAAATTGAAATATGAGCGAAAACATAGTGCTCAAAATAGTCACAGATATATTTTCATGAGTCAATTGATCGCTCGGTAAAACATTAGGATTTAATGATTAAACGGTGTTGAAATTTCCTTCTGCTATATAAATTTGGTATTGCTTTGCTTCAAGAAATATACAGCGACATAAAGATTACGACGTATTACGCAAGTTAAGATATACAAGAGGAATATGATTGTATTTTCAAAGCAGGAAATGATTATTTAAATTATTATTTCTAAGTTAATTCGAACATTATTTGCTCAAAAAATTCCATTGTGGTATTAGATCCGATAAATACAAGAAATTGTAACGTAACTGAAATTGTACACGAATTGCATTAATTTCATTTTTTAGAACCATATTAAAACATGATTGCTTTAATGTTTCAAGTAATGCAAACTCGATTGCGATGAACTAAGGTGACAAAAAATTTATTTTATTTATTTTATATATCATATCAACTAATTTACATATTTTTTGATATCAACTTAAACTTTATTATGCAGTATTGTTTATATTTTTTGACTGAGAAATTTAAATACAAATGTTTTTAGCGCCGCTGTCAAATTAGGCGTGACCTGGTTCACTTTCTAGATTAAAATTCATCTTATCGAATGCAATTTGAATGGCAATTATGTAATACGTTGTTCATTTATCAAAGTAGCAAAGTATAACAAAAGCGATTTATACGGAACCTTCAGTTGTCGCGAACCACGATAGAATGATGAATTATCGTGACTCGTAATTTTTGTAAAAAAAAGCAAGAAAAACGTCAAATAATTCACTAGCGAAATGTTTCGCAGAGACGTTTCGAGACGTTTATTACTCGCGTTTTGTTCGTCGCATATGCGTAATGAACGCAAATATATTGCGCATAGAGGACCTTATCTCGTGCATGATTACATAAAAAAAAAAAAACTACTGAAATCATCTCTGTACCGAGGAAGATGGGGCGAGAAACGGGAACCAGAAGCACACCGATTTGCTTGTAAATATCGCGATCGGACGGTATTAGTCTTTACATTGTACAAATTAGGAATTCCGACTTTGGATTAAAAACTTTTCTATTTCGAATTCTAATCTTTGTATATTTATCGCGTTTTCGTACCAGAAGAGCAATTCGCTTTGAATTAGTTATTTATAGAAGGAATTGAATTGAGAGAGAAATCTTCTAAGAATAGTTTCTGTTTTGCAACTTAATATTTCGATTTGTTTGTTGTATGAGCGTGTAAGTGAAGATCATAAAAGTGAATTGCAACGTGATGGAGATGATAAACCTATTTTGAAATAATAATTTTTCGATGATACGTGCCCTCTTTTTTTTGTACAGTGAGCGATCAGCTGCTTGCTGGCGGTGAGGACAGAAAGAAAAGAATTGCATTAAATATTGATATGAAGATGCTGAAGATCGGATTCATTGGAGGCGGCAAGATGGCCCAAGCTCTAGCCAAAGGTTTTATACGAGCTGGTAAAAATGCTAACTGATATTCGTTTATTCGATGACGTTGTATACTTGGATTATGTAATTATTCATTATCGATATTTTTAAATTTTGTGTATACATTTGCATATTAATTTTACTTTATGTGTATATTTACGTATTTATATTTTAATACTTACCTAATAGTTTGAACGAAAGACGTTAAATTTAAATATTTTTGCGGGAGTTGATATTTTTGTCTTTTTGATCTTTCAATGTTGTATCATTGTGATTTCTAGGATTGAGCAAGGGTGAAATGATGTTGGCCAGTTGCCTTCCGAACGATGTGGGCAGTATAGATGCGTTTAAGGTGAAAATAATTGTTTATCACGACTGTTTAATTTGTTATCATTGCATGCCAAGGTATATGAAGATATGCTGATAAAAGATAGTCATCTGGTTATTAACGTTATCAGTTTGAAGCAGTTGTTTCAAAAAATATGAAAACAATAAATATTTTTTGTTTACTCGACAAACAGATAAAGAAGATGAAAATCTACTTGAGGAACGCTTAATACATAATAGTAATACTCATTTTTTAGAGTATTAGCTGGACATATCAAGTTTACATAAAAAGTAATCGACGATCTCAACTTGATTGGGTATTAAGATTAAAATAATTAACGTATTTAATTGACGATCATCACGTTGATGACAATTTCAATTTGCAATTCAAAGATATTGTATCTCCGTATTTAATTGCTTCTTTGATTCTTTATTAGTTAAGTTTAAGCAGTTTTTCGATAGCGCATAAGTCTTCTGTACTTATAGAGCTTTTAAACTCTATCACTAATTGACTATAAACACCTGGATGATTATTATTTCTCAGTAATTATCACGTTTAGGAAAATTTCCAATACCGAGCCTTATCTTTGCTTGATGGTAATCTGAATAAATTGTATTGCAACTATAGAATTTAGTTTATTGTACATTTACGCTCGTCGATATATTGAACCTTTCGTTATCAAGTGTGCAAAGTATTCTAATTTGCATTTCATAGTATTAATATTCTGATTAACTTATAATTTCAGGAAATGGGTTCAGAGACCGTATTTTCAAACGAACCAGTAGTTGATTATGGCGACGTCTTAATTTTATCAGTAAAACCACAAGTGGTTCCGCAGGTTCTTCCAGATTTGAAGAATTATAGAAAACTTTTACTTTCTATTGTTATGGGAGTCCCATTAACTTCATTAGAAAAGGTAATGTTTCATTTTATTCCTTTTAATTTCAATTTTGCTTATAACGGAATAAAATAAAGTTATTTTAGTATAATAAAGTAGTTAAAATATTAGTAATATTACAATATTTTTGACCTGGAAATAAACTACATATGTATGTTCATAATGTTACTTCAGATTTTAATTCTCATTCTAGGCTCTGCCAGATGGAACACCAGTAATTAGAGTAATGCCCAATACACCAGCCCTAGTGGGTTGTGGCGCAACGGTATATGCTCGTGGAAAGTATGCCGGTGATAAGGAAGCTGAAATAGCAGAAAAATTATTTTCCTCCGTGGGTTTATGCGAAGAAGTATCTGAAAATTTAATTGACCCCGTTACGGCCTTGGCTGGTTCCGGGCCTGCATATGTATGCCTAAAAATTTGAACATATTTGCAGTCATTTATATTAATGTTTATAGGAGATGATGTGTATAGTAATATTTTCATTTACCAATATAGGTATATATGATGATAGAAGCTTTGGCTGATGGAGGTGTAAAAATGGGTCTCATGAGGCCAATCGCGTATAAATTAGCTGCGCAAACTGTTCTTGGAGCTGGTACTATGGTTCGAGACACAAAGGCACACCCAGGACAACTTAAAGATGATGTAGCTTCGCCAGCAGGTTCGAAAAGACTCTATTTGACATTATAAAACATATTTGCAAGTTTTTTCGTGTTCTTGCTTTCACGATTATTCACCGTTATTTTAATTAGGGTCTACCATAACTGGAATTCACTATTTGGAAGAGCACGGATTGAGATCAGCTATAATTGGAGCAGTTGAAGCAGCAACAAAGCGATGCAAAGAAGTTAGTTCATTTTCAGAGAAAAATTAAATTTTTAATTTTGAAGAAAGATATAGTTATAGCTGGTAAACAAACGAGGAAAGTAAAAAATCATTGTTGTGTAGTCGTTGAAGTTGTAGAAAAAAAAATCACAATGTTTTAACTTAGTACCTTTTTAGCTTTATAACGTCACAGTTGTCTGTCGTACGTATTTAAAAAAAATACGTAGTGTAACTGTTTTAAAAAATTTTTGTATATTTTGTACATAATTCTTTTAAACTGGTAAATGTTAAAATTATGGCTTATTGTTATACGTTTGAAACGTAGCGTTTAAAAGTGTAGATCTGTTATTTTTTAACAGTAGTGTATTTTGTAATGAATGTGTATAAAAATGTATGTGAATATGTTTAATATTTAATTATAACATTTTTACGTTTATGCATTTAGCGTAAACAAACTGAGAACATTCGAATATGTTTTTCCTTCAAGCGAAATTTCACAATAACAAATTTTATGATGAAGGCTATAGAAAGTACTATACAAAGTATAATTTTTTATAATATAATACATAAAAAATCATGCCATTTTATATTGTGATTTTAAAAATAACATACTTAATACAATTTTAAATATTGAAATATTGCAATAAACATTAAACTTTTAAATCGTTTTTTATTTTCTTTGATGTAAAGTAAAATATATCATTCTTTGTACTAGCAATATTTAAAATGTATGTTAGTAATCTTAATGTATAAAAGATTTATAAATATTCATGATTAATGCATATAATCTCATAATATATCAACTTGATTCTATATAATCAAATATAAGAATTATTTGCTTAGTATAATTCAGTTGTTCTCCTTAAATTTTGTTTGTTTAAAACCAAGATTAAACTCTGACTTAAATATTTCTCTATAGTAACTCTCTTTAACTATATCACTTTCTGAAATACCGTCTTCTTTACATTTTGATACATAAAGTTTATGCATAGCAGCTATACTTAATCTAGAGTCTAGATATTTTTTCCCTGTACAATCCGTAGGATCTGTTGATATTTGTATCGGGAACGATTTGATATGTTCACGTACCCTATCCTTAACCCTTTCACTTTTCTTTGTTTTTGGTGTATGCTTTCCTCTTTGGTCTGGTTCTATTACTCCTTCTGGAGACATTCTTTTTTTACCCATAACATGGCGGACAAATTTTTCAGATAATGCATATGTGCTAAGAAACATGCATTTGCATACTGTAATAAATTCTCCATTCAATAAAAGTGAATAAGTAAAGGTAACTTGTCTACGATGTTTCGATTTAATGTTTTCCCGACATCGAGTACGTTGTTTCGGAGATTCCTTAACCGATAACGCGATATTTTGTTTTCGCTGTTCCCAATTACATGTTTTCCAAAAAACATTATGAAGTTCTTTCCGACTAGTTTCATTTATTTTTTCAGTGCAATGCATGCGGCATTTGCAAGGAGGACCCATAGTTTTTGCTGGTACTATTTTTCCTATTAATTTAGAAACTTTTCATATAAATTTTATTTTTACTACTTACAACATTTTTTTTTCTAAAATTAATTTAATTTACCTCCAACTCCAATATACTCTTCACCCCTTAGTCTAGCATTTTTTTTAATATTTACTTTCCATAATTCTGGATGTTTTGTACGCTTCAGGGGTTCTCTATATTCTTTTATAGTTTTTGACTTTTTCAATTGCTTAGATTTTGCATCTTTTTTAACATTTAATTCTACTTCTTCTAATGAATTGGATAATTGAGCATTTATTGATTGATCTAATAAGAAATTAAAACAAATAAAAGTAATCAATGAAACAATGTTATTAATAATATTTTAAATATTGCTAGTTATTACTTGTTACAGAATCCTTTGTTGAAGGAACTGCTTCATATTGATACTCAGGCTCTATTATTAAATCCGTGATAGCTGTATCTTTCCACCATTGGATATTTGTGGATGCATTATCCAAAGAACTTATTGGACCTACAAGTAAAAGTTTTAATTAAAAATAACTGAAATTGTTTTTTATAAAAATGATATACAGTTTGCTTGCTCTTTGCTTACATATATTGTTTTGATGTTTATGGTATGATAACTGATGGGATAATATTTGACTTTGGTTCATATGTATACTTCGATCATTGAACCAAACTCCTATTTCCTTTCTCCTCATTTGTTCATTTTCATCATTTGAATTTGTAATTATTACATTTTGTTCCATTTTATTATTCACTATGATTACATTATTCAATATTTGTACAATCAAATAATTACAGCAATTAAACATACATTTTTGGCACTTTCTTTTATTTTTTTACATTACTTCTATCAAATTTATTGTCATTTTTCAATCAAAGGTAAAAAAATAAAATATATGGTTATAGATTGTTGCACTTTCTATTTACACTAACGTAATATTTTAAGGTTATGTCATATTTCTTTGTTTTAAAGTTTTTCGGTGGAATAACTTCACACATCATTTAATAATGATAAACATTATGTGAAATATACTATAACAATACAAATTACATCGGAGAAAAGAATTCAATTAATACATAAAAATTAAATAAATTATATTAAATTAAATTGAGATAAATTAAATTGAGATAATTAAGATATTAATTAATATAAAGAGATTCAAAATAGCAAGTGCAAAATATGAAATTATTTGATAATAGAAGTAATTGTAAGATATAATGTACAAAAGCTAAAATTAATAAATTATTTAAAGAAGAAGATTGGTATCATCATCATTTATATATTGTTTAAAATATTAAAATTTTAAACAAGCATTAAAATATTAATGTCAAAATTTAACTGAAGATGGCGATGAATCTGCTCGAAACTATTTTTCAGTCCTTAGTTAATAGTTTGAAATTAGCAATCAGTCAGTGTTACGTTTTCTCTTCTTATTCTTGGTGTTAAACGTAGATATTAACATTTCATTAAAGAAAAAAGTGATTCTAAATACAAACCTTTGTAATTTTAATAGACCATTTGATTAAAAATAATATTTATTTATGTTAAAGTTATAAAATTGATAACTTATACAAAGCTATGCTTTCGTATAAATTTCTTTGTTCTCTTTATGCATAATTTCGGGTTCAGTATTAAAATAATATAATAAAATATAATATAATAACAATGTAAATATAATAGCAATATAATAATGTTAATATAATATAATATCTTTAAAGTACAAAATTCAATTTTAAAGACTATAAAATTGTAATTCAATGTAACGGAAATTATATGATATATTTAATGGTTCAAATTCAAATTTACTATAGAACCGCTAGATGGCAGCAGGTAGTACGTAAAGGATGCATTTGACAGTAGAAAACTTGGTTGGAAACGTTCGATAAGTGACATTCGGGATTAAAAGTGCAGTGTGTGGTTCGTGTAAGCAAAAGTGCTTTGGAGTTCTGCGAAATGTTTGGCAGACCTGACGCAAGTCTGTGATAAATATTAACTTCGTCAAACGATACTGTGGACATTGGTGTCAAGGTGTATTTTGGTTACCGTCCGAACGACAGGGCATTCCAACGTACATTGTGGGTGAGTGTCTTTTAGGTTACCCATTGATTTATTAGTAATGGTTCGATTTATTTTAATCGTACATCGCATCGATATTCCTTGATCTAAAGATTGAACCATTTCATTCTCTTAGTTCTGTCAGAAATTACTTTATATTCTAGAAGCTACGACGCATACTTTTGTCTGCCATTTATTTTTTAATTGTCATCTAACTTCACTGACATGCATAAATATTTGTTTATCGCAAATCTTGAAAAGAAAAAGGACCGATGCATATATACTCTGTGATGTCGGACATTATTGGTATTAATCTTCTTTTTCTGATAGTCTTCATATATATAGTCTAAAATTATCTGTTTACAATCAGTTCTTTAAACAATCTTATTAAGGTTAAATATTTCAATGCGATATGCGTGTTAGTTTTTAATAGTCGTATATATTATTTGTGATTACAAATGTCTAAAATATGGTGTATCACACCATACGTATATATGATGTGTAAATATATATATATATATATATCTATAGCTATATGTATTGATTTCAACAAGTAACCTTGAAATTTTGCAGTATGGGGGTTTGTTTACGTTTAAACACCATTTTCGTAACATCTTCAATAGTTCAGTTGATAGAGCGGTGTGCTGTAGTTGTTTGATTCTTGAAGGAACATTTTTAAGGTTGCTGAGTCGTAGGAAATTTTTAATTTCTTTCATTGTTTACTTCCATGTTTTTACTTTTTTCTTTTATTATTTTTATAATATAAAAGGTAACATAAATTATGTGATAGCATAATATGAAGAAATAGAAAAATAAATCATTTATATTTTCGTGATATCTAAAGAATTTGTAATGTAATTCTTTGGATATTTTGTTAGGTTTTGTTAATTGTATCATAATCGCCATTATTCTATTTTAAACGATGAGTTCTTGCTGCCCTCTGGGAGTGTAACCGCATATTACAGTGCACATGTTTGATGGTAACGTAGGTTGTACTTATCATGAGAATATGACGCGTTCAGCACATATGTTATTTCTAAAGTATATAATTGAACTAATACTTTAAATCAAACGAAGATAGAACAAAATTGCAATATACAAAAACTTGTTAAACATACTTTAAAAACCTATCGTTAAAAATTAAATATCCCCCAATATTTTTGTATTTTTAGAAAAAAAGAAATTAAATCTTATAATGGCATTCCATAACAATCGTTTTTATTCCCGTTACCAAATGACTTTCAAATATATTTTATTTTTACAAACTCTATACTCATAAGAAAACCAATATCAGAATTAATTTCAAATTTAAGAAGCCAATTTCGAATTGCAAGTTGATCGCATAAAAGATATTGGTAATACCGACAACCGATAACAGAAAGGAAAGAAAGGGAAGACCGATGTCGCATCGATCGAGCGTGTCGTGAAGGAAAAAGGAATTAATCTACGTGTCCGATCGAGCAAATCGTTCGCGAGACGCGACGCTGATATACCACGCGGGCACGTTCAGGTTAATTTATCGCCGGTTCGCTCTAATCGTCCTTCGTAATTTATTACTACTCTGTTCATATTTATTGGAGGGGTGGCGGGCCCCTGGCCCGGTGTATTGTGCGCGTGAAATTGCTTATATTGTTGCCTGCTCGTTGGATCACGATAAATTATTCGGTCGCGAAGGTGTGATACCTGACGTGCGCCCGATAGATCGCAATTGTGGACGAACATGATTTGATATGGTACTTTATGTCCCTGTGCTTTGTGCGCCCTCTCGTGCATCAATCGCGAATTCTCTTCTGTATTAGCAGATACTTGGTCGGTGTGAAGCAGATTTTGAATTTCTCTACTTAAATTTTTCGGACATTTTTTTCTTTTACTTTTGAAACTCAATTATTTTTATTTTGAATTGAGAGAAGAGAATTATTATTTTACTATTTTCTGTTAAATTTTATCGAAGTTATATTTCCTTTACTCCATCTAAAATACCTACATATGCTAAAGTGAGAAGTTGTAGATGGCGCAGGTATTTGTTTAGCAAGTTATAATAATAGTGATTTTTACTTCCTAGAAATAGGTTGGCAAACTCTGCTGACAGTGACGAACGATTCATCGCGAGTGGTCTCTGTGGAAGAAACAATATAATTCGTACGCATAACACACGGGAATATATACGCGTCGGTAGAATATATTTACAGTCGATGATTACAAACTCTGGCGAAGGTTTGACGTACCCACATAGACAATCATGAGATCGTTTCGCAACGAGCAGGACAATTCATCCGGTCAAATATTTGCTTCCGGAATTTCGACGTCGGCTAACCTTCCAACCGCCAATGGTAGCCTAGCTTTTCGTCGTTCGAATAACGATAATCGGGTGGCCTGGTTGCACGCAATTTCGCGGTGGAATGCTCGTTCATCGACACGTCACGCGATTTTAACCTAGAAAACTAAACGTTAAGTCTTTCGGTGGAGCGTCGATCGAGCTTCACGATCGATTACATATTTTTCAAAACGTTCGCGAGACTCGACGAAAATTGGCAATTACTCGTGGCGTCTTGGCGTTCTTTATGGCGTTCCTTCGTCCGTGATAATGATGGTCGAACGAAATGGTTCAGGTGAAAGGTCGCGTTTTCCTTCGGATTATTAATTATTCGCGCGTTATACGTCGTTTCACGCGGACGGAACGATTCATGGGAACGGTCGTCGTTCAGGGGGAAAGGGGACGATTTTGATGAATAGTCGGCCATGATTCGGGCGAGATAAAACGTCGCCATTGGCAGACAGCCCACGTGACTCGTAATCGTATCGTTCGAGCGCATGATCGTGTCTGCTGGAGGATGAAAACTTCGGTTTTCTCTAGTTCTCGCGGTGCAAATGGAAGTAGTTGATCGGGTACCGGGTTTTAGGAACGCATTTCAGGCGGTGCATACGAAATGCTGGTTTACCGCGCGCCATTTTTTTTTTTTAGAAATAATCTCCGTATAACTGCGTGTACGTTTTTCCTGATTTATACAAATCGTTGATTTTTGGGTTTGAAAATTTTACGAATGTTAATTTCGTGGTTGATTTGATAGGAAATAATTATTTAATTATTTATTGGGAAATTAAATATCGAAAATTCGTGAATGTATAATTGAAGTTCCATTTCTTTAACTATGAACATTATTGCATCGCGAATACACAGACGTGAAAACGATTGAAAATTCAAATAAAATTGATCTATAGATTCTTGGATAGTTCTAATAAAAATTTTTATTCAATCACAACAAACTTACGATAAATCTCGAAGTATTCCAAGTATCAAAATTCGGTAAAGGTCCATCATCATCTAGTTCTCCATCGGTGTTATAATAAAAATCAGAAACATCCACAAAAATTCTTACTCAACTGCAACAAATTTTAAAACATAACTATTTGTCCAAAAGAAGGAAAGAAAAAAGAAAGGAACTATAAAAAATATACTTATCTATAAATCTCGAAATACCGGTGCAAGTATTAAAATTCCAAGAGAGGCCATCATCATCTAGTTCTCCATCGGCGTTATAGTAACAATTAGGAACATCCACAAAAATCCTTACTCAACTGCAACAAATTTTAAAACATAACTACCTATCCAAAAGATGGAAAGAAAAAAGAGGGAACTATAAAAAATATACTTATCTATAAATCTCAAAATACCGGTGCAAGTATTAAAATTCCAAGAGAAGCCATCATCATCTAGTTCCCTATCGGTGTTCTAATAAAAGTCAGAAACATCCACAAAAATTCTTACTCAACTGCAACAAATTTTAAAACATAACTACCTATCCAAAAGAAGGAAAGAAAAAAGAAAGGAACTATAAAAAATATACTTATCTATAAATCTCGAAATACCGGTGCAAGTATTAAAATTCCAAGAGAGGCCATCATCATCACCGTGAACGGTGGATAAAAATCACCCTGTAACCTTTTCCACCGATCAGAACCGTGGGCTTGAGTTGCAACCAGCTCTAGCAAACTCCACTTGTCCGGAGGACGGTTAGCAGCATCCAGAGACCAAACGTGGAGGACAATTCCCGGAGGATGGAAGAGGTCCCGAGACTTCAGACAGTCGAGTTGGCGCGCCATCGAGCAGTAGGATTGAAACGAAACTGTTAAAAGCGTTTCATTAGCCGGGCGTGCTCGACGGGGTCATTGTTCGAGGGATGACCAGCAGCGGAAGACGCGAAAGGAGAAACTACTACGGGATCAATATTGGCCGGGGCCGGTATTTGTTTGGGACGAAGCGGATTGCACGCGGACGACACCGGTTGGACGCGATCGATTCGAGATGGAACTGTTTCATTAAATCGAAAAACGTCTTCGTTCCGTCGTGAAAGGGCTCGAACGAGATCGGGAGAAGGTTGGATGTTGGGATTTCTTGGGGTACAGGTGTGCCGAACGAGCTGGTTCTCTTCTTCTTTCCATTTCCTTTTTGTTAAGGAAGGCAGCTTGTTTCTGGAATAGATCAGGGTTCGCGTGGGGGAAAGGGTGTCTTGATTGCGAATATTTTCTCCTTCTGTGTGAGAGTCGCAAGAGGCTTTTTGAATCGATTAGGGTCCTTGCTGTGGGGGATAGGGGGTTTATAACCAATATCTTTTTCTTTTCTTTTTCTATGGGGTAAGAGAAGATTTGTTTATGCGTCATTTGGAGTATGTATAGTGGAAGTTTAGTATAATGTGAACATTTTTTCTTCTTTTCCTAGTAAAGTGGACTTTAGGTTTGAAGCGATTAGGATTCACGCGATGAAAGGGGTAGTTGCCTAGCAAATATTTTTTCCTTCTTTTGGAATAAGAAAAGGTTTGTTTGTGGATCATTTGGAATTTGTATACTGGAAGTTTAGTATAGTTAGTGAATATTTTTTCTTCCTTTTCCTAGTAATAGTTCTCCATCGGCGTTATAGTAACAATTAGGAACATCCACAAAAATCCTTACTCAACTGCAACAAATTTTAAAACATAACTACCTATCCAAAAGATGGAAAGAAAAAAGAGGGAACTATAAAAAATATA